GGGAAAGAAGGGAGGCAAAAAGAGGAGTTTTAGGCTGGATCCCCTGCTTCTCCCCCGTCCCCAGCTGCCGCCCTGCCTGCCCTCCCGCTGCTTGGCTGGAGCCCCGCAGGCCGCACGCCCTTCCCAAGCCTGCCAGAGCCCCAGCGGGTCAGGCTGCGGGGCAGGGAAGGGGCCGTCGCCTTTGCTGACCCGCGTTAATTTTTAAACCCCGGAGACGGAGGGTTGCGTGAAGGGGTGGCTGCCCCCGAAAGGAGCCGGGGGCCGAAGTCTGAGAGGAGCTGGAAGGAAGCGGCACGGCTGGCTCGGAGCCCGCGGTGCTGCGCGTCCCCCCCGCCCGCTGCGACGGGGATTTAGCAAGATGCGCTGGACCCCTCCTCACCAGATGGAGCTGGTCCCCCTCCAGCCAGTGCCTCCAGCCTCGGTTCCTCTTCTCTCCCAGCTGCTCGCACACCAGCTGATCCCCGTCCCAGGAGACAGTTGTCTGAAAAAAAAAAACAACCAAGGAGTAGAGGGGAAGCCATGGTCCCACGACAAGCGGGTCCCGGCAACACGGGTTTCCAGCGATGACACTGACTGTTCCTCTCGGACACATTTTCCGACGCAGTCCCTGATCTGGTGTCTCTTTGGTGGCTCCTTGGGCCTGATGCTCTGTGTGGGAGGGGAATGACCCTCTGGCTTCCAAGTGCTTCCAAGAAGCGGGCTGACATTCCGTCTTTTCAGGGCTTTGCTCCGGAGGACAGTACCCTCTGGCTCCCAAAGTACTGGGTTTCTGGCTATTTGGTGCTCATCCCCTTTGCTGCGAGCGATTTACTCTGAGAACCACTTACTCCCGGACCTGCAGGGGCACGCCAGCTCTGGGCTGGGCTCTCGTCTGGTTCCTGAATCAAAAGCTGGGCAAGTCCCTGAACTTCTCGTGCAGCCCAGGCCACCGTCAAACTGGGCCGCTTGGGCTTCTCACCTGGCACTTGCGTCCGTCCACGGGTCCCAGGTCTTCCTCAAACTGGACTCCCAGGTCAAAATCCATAACGTAGTCCCGCAGGGAGGTGATGGTGCGGATGACCATGTGATCTCCCGTGTGGATGATCTCTTTATCGGGCTTCAAGAGGCAAACCAGTTTTCGCAGGACCACGTTGATATCTGGAGAAAGAGAGGGAGGGGAGATCTGTGGGGCGACTCGGGCCCCTCTTCTCGCAGCATCCCCGCATCCTCCACTCTTAACCAGGGAGCCCAGCCGTGATACCTCCTCCCCTCTCCCACCACAGCCCAAAAGCGATGGTGACAGACAGAAGGACTGTTTGTTTGGTTTTTTCCCCCAAACCCTGTCCCGACTTGTGACGTTTTTGGAGACGGAAGGCAGCAAAAGGGGAGGAAGGAGCGGGATGAGTTACCTAAGGCGCGCAGGTAGTTGTCCATGTTCTCCTGGGAGACGAAGCGGTAATAGCCGGTGAGGTTGGGAGGCATCCCGGGGCAGGGGGGTGGCGAGGAGGGGAGAGGGCGAGGAGCGGGGCTGGCGGCGAGCTGGGACCGAGCTCGCTCGCCGGGCGGACCGGTCCCTCTGCGGCCTCCCCGCTGCGGTAAGAGTCCCGGCGGCGGGGGGCGCGGAAAGGGCGGGGGGGGCCGGAACGGGGCGGGCATGCCCCGGCCGCCCGCCGCCCCCACCCGGCCC